TTATTTATTCTATTCTTATTGAAAAATTCAATTAAAACATAATAAAAAATTAATTAATATAAAAATTAAAAAAATTATCAATCATCACCAATCAATCAATAAATCAATGAAATAAAATAACAAACAAACCTCTAGGAATTCGTTCGTTCTATCATCAAGTATGTAATGTGCTTCTCTTGCAATATCAGGTAATAATTTTACAAGAGACACACGTTTCTCAATTATTTCACCATCAAGGCTTCCACCACCCTGAACTATAAAATCTGTATACAAATGATTCTGCATCAAATTAAAGGCTGTAGTCAAACAAGTTGTTTGAACTATATTAAAATCTTGACTATTTCATATATAATTTTCAAAAAAAAAAAATCCATTAATTAATTGTATTTAATAATAATTCTAATTTATTGACAAAATATTATTATTATTAATACCTATCCAAAAAATCTTTGGTTTCATCTAACAATTTTCTAAGTTCAGGTTCAATTTTAACTTCAAATGCATTATCTCCACCCTTATCAAGTACTTTAAATTCATCTTCTAAATTTTGGGGCATCATAATATTAGTATACCTAAAATTTAAAAAAAATCAAAAGTTATTATTATTATTTATTTATTTAATTTTTTTAAAAAATTTATACCATGCGCTTTGATTATCGCTTTCATTTCTTTCCACATGAGATCTAATTTCAGTAACAATCCATACAAAATCTTTGTATGAAAGTTCATCTTTCAATGATATACTATATATATATAATAATTATTGTTATTTTAATAATTTCAATAAATTATTAAAATTGATTAATCAATTCATACATACTTGGACAATACTGATTCAACAGAAGATTTAACACGTTCAACAATTTCCCTGTATCCAATATTTAGAAACCACCAACTAAAAGTCAAATACTTTTTTATTATTATGGGACTCAATATAGATTCAGAAGAAAATCTGTTCAATTGTTCCGTGTCACGTTCTGCTAGAGATACAACAGAACATATATAATTATATCTTCCCAATAGATTTAAATTTATATGAATAATGAGCATAAAAAGTGTTTCTAGATAAATAGCAGCTATAGTACGTATAAAACCTATTGACGTTGTCATTATTTATAATAAAATTAATATCATTCTTATTAAATAATATAAACAATATATGAGCAATACATATAAATGAGAAAACGTACTTTTATTTTTTACTTCAGTCCATAGTTCAATTTTTGTTTTTCTATCAAAAATTAATTGAGATGATGATGGTTGAACGTTAATAACAATGTAATGTTTTACTATTTATAGGACGTTGGCCACAAAAAAGTGCCGAATTTTTACTTGGGCTTTTGAGAAATGCACAAAGCAATGCAGAGGTTAGTACGCTGATTTGATCAATTAACATCTTAATTTAATTGATGGTTTAGTCAAACGTTTATTATTTATTATTATTATAATCATTTGTTTAGATTAAACAATTAGATATTGATAACTTAGTTATTACTCATATTCAAGTAAACCAAGCTCCCAAACAAAGACGAAGAACTTATAGAGCTCACGGCGTAAGTGATCGCTTATATATATTGTTATTACCATTACTATTTATCACTACTATTATTACTATCTAAAATTATTCGATATTTTATAAAAAATATTATAATTATTTAGCGTATAAATCCTTATATGAGTAATCCATGTCATATTGAAATTATTGTTACAGAAAAAGTTGCTCAAGTAAAACGTGAAGATGACGGTGCCAAGAAAGTTCAAAGATTAAATACTAGACAAATTGCCAAAAGGAGAATAATGGGAACAACAAAATAACAGCATCTTAAAATTTGCATACCGTTTCTTTTTGCTCCAGAAACGATAAATTACTATTATTATGTTTATTTATAAAATTAAAATATTTATAATTTAATTTGCAAATTAAAATAAAAATCATTACTATCGAAACCATAATTATATCAAAATTGTAATAATAAAAATAGTATTAATAGAAAAAAATTCTTTCCTTGCCCTATCTTTTGACTTTTCTTTATCATAATCATGTTTACGATCTCTGCCTCTGCCTCTTTCTCCTCT